CCTTTGGACTTGATCTACGCATGGTAAAGATAATAGGTTGTTCGCCTTATTTTGGATTTATAAATATTGGAAATGTTTAACCCTTGTTGGGGTGGTACTAGAAGAAGTGGACCAATGGACCCTATGCTCGGGCTTGATCTAGGCTTGGTAAAACTAATATGTTGTGCAAAGTTTGGTTCAAATCGGGAAATTGGATTTGTAAATATTAAAAATGTTAACCATTTGTGGGGGAGGTACCAGAAGGAGTGGACAAAAAGGTCCTATCTTCGGACTTGATCTAGGCTTGGTAAAGATAATAGGTTGGGTAAAGTTTGGTTCAAATGGGATAGTCCGTTCGCATGATATTATAAAATTATTTTTCAGCAAAATTTTGACAATTTTGTGTGGGAGGTACAAGAAAGAGTTGACCGATTTTTCACATCTCCGTTATTTCGATGAGGCACATTTTGCCGTATCGAAGTGTATATATAATGATATATTAAATGTCACTAAAACTGAATATATTAATTTGGATTATTTTTAAATTTTTTGTTAGCGTGGTATTTTTTTCTATCTATTTTATTTCTGCATAAATTTATTTAACATCTTTTTAACATCTTTTTCTTCTTCATTCATAAATGCAAAGAAACGTAAAATTCGGCAGACATATTTGTTGTAAAGAATTGAGAACGTATGAGCAATATCTTATCGAACAAACACATATACGTACATATATACATTAAAACAACAACAATGCATCATTACGCACACTCGCACACCTGGTTAGCTCAAGGGTGATCAGAAGCGTACATGAAACAAAACGTAACCGCAACCAAGTCCAATGCTACACTGAGTCTGCGTTTTAAATCGAATTGGAAAAAAAAAATAACGGATGAACGGCAAAAAACCGATGAGAATATAAAACAATAATAATAATTGATTTGAAACAAAAACAAAAAAAAAACATTGAACAAGTTTTGTTTTTGGCAGTTTCCAAAATGTATTTCGATATTTTTTGCGCAAAAGATTTATCTAAGAACCCACCGTCGTATTGCTTCATTTCACTTTCAGCCACCCATCAACGAAGATGTCAACGCAAACGATAATGTTTGAGAATTCCACCCGAACCTATTCGCAAGAATTGGAGGATCTATTAACGACGCAACGAGATGCCAGGACCAAGGATTGGTTTTTGGCCGAATCGATGCGGCCGCTCTTGACCATTCTGGGAGTGTATCTGTTTTTCTGCATTTATGCCGGGCCGCGAATAATGCGCAATCGTAAACCGTTCGAATTGAAGAATACCCTGATAGTTTATAATGCCCTGCAAGTAGTGTTCAGTGTTGTGCTCGTCTATGAGGTAAATAATTCGAAAAATAGACTATTATGGGGTCAAATGGTAATGAGTGTGTATCCTTTTAGTTTTATGTATCCGGCTGGGGTCATTACAATTACAAATGTGAAGCTGTGAGTTATGGCACCGATCCAAAATCAATGAGGGTAAGTAATTGCCGATATCCGTTTAGGGTTTCATAATTTAGAGCCCATTGATTAATAATCATATTTGTTGTTGTTGCAGATGGCAAGAGCCGTATATTTGTACTATATTGCCAAACTTACGGAATTATTGGATACCGTCTTCTTTGTGCTGCGCAAAAAAGAACGTCAAATTAGTTTCCTTCATTTGTACCATCATGCCTCGATGCCATTGGCAACTCTTATTGGTGTTCAATATTTTGCTGGTATGTATAAACAAAAAATAATAACTACTAAAAAAAGACATAGATCTCGTGAAAAAAAAAATTAAATCCGAAGCAGAGAAAGCTTCAACTAGGATTTTGGTGAAAGTTAATATTTTTGTATAGCTCCTGTAAATTGTATATAAAGTGGAGTGTGTGTTAATGGCCGGTTACCAAACTAAAAATGTGGTAGAATTTTTAGATTTATAAAGTGAAAAATCGGAAACAATTTCGATCAGTAGAAGATTCCTGCAGGTTCTAGAGCTGAGCATACATTATTTTGGTACCTTCATATTAATCGTAGAATGTTTAGTATTGCAAATCCAAGTTTTGGTATAGCTTCCATATAACGGGTCACATTTATAGTCATACAGGCTGTAATTTGACATTCAGGGTTCTTTATAGAATATGTTTGATATATGATCATGTTTAGTGTCTGTATAAACGTCCCGTCCTATTTTAGGCAATTTGAAAGCTTTAGCTGCAATTTCCAATAGAAATTACTGTTATTTGGCATCCAGAGTTCTTGGAGGTTGAAGACTTTTTTACTGAAAGATTTCTGTATTTCGAAAATTTCAATACCATTTTCCAATGCATAAACAACTTCTTTCCAGAAAATGTTCAAGATAGGTCTACATTTGTACAAAGCTGTCCGCCTAGCTTCCCGTTTTTCAATCTGAGTGCCTGTAATTCTAGATTAGATAATAGGTTTCACAAAGTTTGCCTCAAATCGGATAGTCTGTTCGCATGATATTATAAAATGCATTTTTAGCAAATTTTTTACCATTTTGTAGAAGGAGGTACTAGAAGCAGAGGATCGATATTCCCCATCTTCGAACTTAAACTAAGTTTGGAAGAAATATTGCGATGTGCAAAGTTTGGATGAAATCGCTCACTCCCTTTGAGAGTTATCGTGCACACCAGCTGTCCAGACAGACAGACGGACGGAAATTTGTAAAACGACTCCAAATTGTCTGAAACGGATTTGGTCCAAAGGAACATGGAGTCTAGAACCAATATTTCGATAAGGCACATTTTGCATATACCCTCAATAACCATAAGACTGGGGGCATAAATATGCATTATATAAAGCAAATGCTGAACATGGCGGACCTTAATATTTATATTAAATATAGATTTTGGCGGTGGGCTGGTATCTTCCCCACACACTATCACAGTATTAAAAAAATTTAAATATTTAATAAAAAATGCTCTACATCGACACTAGACCGTAATTACGTAGACCACCGCGAACCATACACTGAGGGTATATATCTGTCGGCCGCACTGATTCCAACAACCTCTCATCGGTGAACAGTCCAAATTATTAAAAGCTTTCCCTCACCGTGACCATTCCGCAGTCAAATTGTTCTTATAATATATGTTTGTAATAATTCCGTTTAAAGAAAATGGTTGTATGGCCAGGGAAACAATTTGGTGCTCCAAGGGTTTATGTCTCATTTAATCAAATTTTTAATTGTTTGAGAGCATTGTAACCGTTACCAAAAATCTATCATTATTTATTACTGATATCTGGCTCTAATGAGTTTGGTACGTTCGATTCCAAACCGCAGCCAAAAATCCAACAATATGTCAGCATGTTAAAAATCATGCATAACAAATCGTAAAGGTTATAATTAGAATAATATCTAAAAATTAGAATTAAATTCCCAAATCACATATTAATACGTTTCCGGTTTTTTTGTTTTTTTGAAACCTGTACTTAGCCACACAATTGGGAATATTTTCAGACGAAACATGAACAATGAATCAAAACAAATTACCTACGGGATCATAGAACTTTTATTTAAATTTCTTTACAACAACAATCAAATACTAATAGCTTGAACAAAATTGTATTTAATATTTTGTTTTCTATTTTTGTTTTTTTTTTTCAATTATCACCTTTTATATTATTCAAGGCCATATCAATTAGTTCATTTATTCGTATTTTAGAAATCATCGATATTAAGTTGATCCCGGAACGAGGGAAGTCATATTATAAAACATGTTGATGGTTTAATGACATGAAATCGAAAAGAAACATACAAAGCGAAGAAATTATGAATTTTACTAGGCCTTGGTACATCTTGGATGCAGACCACATTACATCCCAAATAAAATGGTCCCGCCCCCTTTTATTTTTATTGTTATGGATTTAAAACGGCATATATGTTGGAACTTTTTACCGGATTATCCTACTTTATGAGGATTTATTTGACATATATGCAAATCAATTAACAATTCATTTTGACATTGTGGGTTAAGGAAATGCGGTTAAATGTAAACGTACTATAAGTGTTTTATCCAATTGATGTCATATTTTGTCTTATTTGCAGAAAATTGTCAGGGTTGTTCACACTAATACATACAAGTTTTGTGATTGTATTTATGTGATGTGAGAAATATTGGAAATATTTTGGATTATCTCTTGACAAAAATGTAATATTTTATTGTTCTCCCCGATTTTCAGGTGGTCAAGGCACAATTGTCTGTTTGGTCAACTCCTTCATTCACATCATTATGTACGCCTACTATATGTTGGCTGCCATGGGTCCCCAAGTTCAGAAATATTTGTGGTGGAAGAGATATATTACCATTTTGCAAATTGTAAGTATTTTGAGATAAACACAAAAACCACTGTGCAGTTTAACTGAAAAAAAAAAATGAATTTTTTCATTTCTTTCCAGGTTCAATTTGTTATTGTCTTCATTCTAACCATACAAATTCAATTCCAACCCAATTGTGGCTATAACAAAATCGTTGGCATTGGCTTGACACTGAATGCCACTCTTTTCATTTATTTGTTTTCCGCCTTCTACGTTGAAAGCTATAAGAAAGAAAACAAAAAGAAAATCGCCAATGGCGATGCTGTCCAAAAAGCTGCTGCTCTCAAACAGGATTAGATTAATTTTGTCATTCATCAATGTAGTTATAAATTCATTTTAGTCATATAAATATTAGATTTATAATATAAGTATGTATGTAATTGTACAAATAAACAATTGTTATAGAAAAAAGTTTACTCAACGATTTTGAATTAACCCTTTCAGTGTTTTGTCGAATATATTCGACATTTAAAAGTACTCTCTTTCTTTGTGATTTTTCGATTATCCTATGTACCGTTATTATTGATGTTTTTGTTTTTGTAAAAAGACAGACGATACTGGCCGAGGGTTAAAATGGCAATTGCAATATTTTCTAAACTATGTCCCTTTATATGATTTTAAATACAAAATTTTAGATTTTTATTCCTACAAAAAATAAAAAAAAAAAATTGACACTGAAAAGGTTAATATTTTGAAGAAAGATCTGAGAATTTTTCTTCGTTAAAAATATACGTTTAAAGGAAGATGACAGTTATTCCTTCAGTATAATCTTATATGTAGTACATTTAAATTGTACTGGATTAAGGAAATACTGTGGACTTAGCTTGTTACGGAACAAGCGCGTCGGTCTTGTGCGCATCTTCTCCAATTTGAAAGTCCATGCTCCGAGATGTTGTCGACTCCTTGGTCTTTCCATCTGATTCGTGGCATGACCTAGCCAACGTAGTCGCTGCAGCTCAACACGACTGGCTGTCGTGTTGAGCTGCAGCGTATAGATTGTAAAGCTCGTGGTTCATTCGACGCCGATATTCACAGTCGACGCAGACGCACCAAGTGCTGCCTCATCTGCTAAAGCAAGCACCCATGCTTCAGATCCATATAACTGCACAGGTAGTATAAACGTCTTGTAAAGTGTGAGTTTGGCTGGCGGGAGGTGACCTTGTTTCTAAACTGCCATAGTAGCATAGGCCATCACTATCCTTCTCCGAATTTCAAAACTAATGTCATTCGTTCTATTTATGGCGATACCAAGGTATATAAAATCTTTAACTACATTGAGGCTGTAGTTCTCAAGTTCCGCAGTTGGTCCGAGTCTACTGGACGTCTTGCGCGTTGATACCATCGGCTTGGTCTTCTCGCCGTTTACTACCAGACCCACTTTGGCAGACTCCTTCTCAATTTTTATAAATATGGCTGTTACCGCTCGCAATGTTCGATCCATTATATCGATGTCGTCGGCGTAGGCGAGTAACATGTGTTGTTTGGTGTGCAGGGTGCCATTTCTGTTCACCTTTGCGTCCCGTATGACCTTTTCCAGCCGGATGTTAAAAAGATCTGACGATAAACTGTCGCCTGGTCTGAATCCTCGTTCGGTCCTTTCCGCTGACCCTGTGCCACTTAAAGTTATTCTGCATAGTCGTATTAATTTTGCAGGAATGTCGAGTGCGAATAAGTGGAATGTGTCGATGTGTTTTCGTGGGTTTTTTTCCAGGATTTGGCGCAGAGTGAAAATCTGACCAAGGGTGGATTTGCCAGGTCTGAAGCTACATTGGTATAGTCCAATTAAAACATTGACCATTGGCTTCAGTCGTTCACACAGCACACTGGATAGTACTTTATATGCGATGGGAAGAAGACTAATTCCTATATATATGATCTCCTTTTTTGTGCACGGGACACAGGAAGCTGAGATTCCAATCGTTGGACATGCATTCCTCTTGCCAAATTGTACTAATGCATGCTCCTGATCAGCATCTGACCATCAGTCTTGAATAGTTCGGCAGGTAACCTTGGCTGCTACAAGATAATGGTCCGAATCGATATTCGCTCTACCGATCATCGAACGTCTAATAAACTGGGCGAATGCCTTCCCTCTATCACAACATGATCAATTTGATTTCTCGTTGCTTAATCAAGAGAAATCCAGGTGGCCTTGTGTATATCGAGATGCTTGAATCTGGTGTTAGCTGCCAATCACCCTAATGCCGTTGTCTGATGTTTCTTTATGAAGGCTGAATTTTCCGACGGTGGGGCCAAAAATATTTTCCCTTCCGATCTTTGCATTAAAATATCCTAGCAGAATTTTAATGTCATGGCCAGGGCAGCGGTCATATGCTGTTTCTAGGCACTCGTAAAATATGTATGTCTTTTGTCTGCTCATCTTTGTCTTCGGTCGGAGCATGGGCGCAAATAAGACTGATGTAGAAGAACATCGCTTTTATACGGATTATAGCAATTCGCTCATCTACTGGAGCGAATCTGGAAACGAGGTCTTTTATTCTCTTGTTAACCATAAATCCATAGCCAAATTCATGTAAGGCAATAATATCGGCTTTGTACTTCTTGAGTACATCCGCCAAAGTGATAATTGCGCCTGTTCTATACAACGTGCGCACATTCCAAGTGCAGATCGTAGTCCTTTATACAATTGCGGGACTACGATCTGCACTTTTTCGATCTTTGCTTTTTCATAGTAAGAGGGGGTTTCCGAGTGTGGGCAACTAACCCGACACCTCAACCCATTTTTTATAGTTCCTATGGGTGAGCTCGCGGCACATATTAGATCACTATTTCAACGGGTGATGAAAATAGTTACTTCAGGTGACACCGCGGGGAGGTTAGTGTCCACAATTGAGATGAAAAAGGGAAAAAGGCCATGTTAAAGCCAATCAGAACCGATGCTTGGTACGGCATTCATTTTTCGCGATTTTTTCATTATTTAATAAAAAATTGTCACACCTGGTTGAGATTTCGTAGCGTGCAGACGTAAAAAGTTCAAGTGCTGTGAAAACATAAAAGGAAGAGTGTGAAGCTGTACATAGGAGAATAAGGAAAAAAACGAAAGAATAAAAGGAAACATTTTTGACCATACTTGATGTGCTGATTAGCTAGCTATTTGTTTGCTGGTGTTGTGGAGCCGGTGGTGGAGGATTGCTGGAAATTTTTTCGGTAATTTTTGTGGAGTGATACCCTCCTTGTGGAAAGTGGTCTGGTTGGTGAAGGTGTTTGTATGGTGGCCAAGCAGGTGGCCAAAAAAAGTGTGGTTATGGACGCCATGGCGTCTGTAACGGGATTGAGTGATCGATGTGGTGGTGACGCTGAGATGAGTGAGAGTGTGTGTGTGAATGCGAGAAGTAAACGTGCGCTAGAAAATGGCGTAAGCAATGCAGATAGGAAGGTAGATGGAGATATGGATGGTGTGTATGCGGAGAATACTGCTGGTGCAAACATGAAGAAACGGCGCTTCAATGACGAAACTGTGTTGTACACAGAGGAGCATAAAGGTAAGTTCATGGTGTTGGTAGACACGAGTGAGGTTGAGAACATTAACAACAAAAAAATTAAAAATGGCTTGTTTTTTATGGAAAAAATAAAAGATGTGAAGGCGGATGAAATCAAAAAAATTAAAAGCGTGGTAGCCATTGGTGCTACTTTATACAAGATCATTTTTGAGGACAAGGCATCTGCAAAAAACTTCGTATGTAATGAGGCAGTTAAAAATAAAAAGTTAAGGGCGTTTATTCCCAAAAATTTCCTTCAGACTTTTGGAGTTCTGAGAAATATTCCGGTGAGCTACACTGAGGAAGAATTACGGTGCGGTATAATTTCTGACAGGAAGGTTGCGACGGTAACAAGATTCATGAGGAAGGACCCGAATGAAAAATCCGGATTTAGACCGACTGAAACGGTAAAAATTGGTTTTTATGGTGATGATCACCCTTCATGGGTAGTATTTAATCACACTGTGCTAGTGGTGAATACATACTATCCTGCCATTAGACAATGCTATAGTTGCGGGCGATTAGGCCACACAAGACTTGGATGCCGGTCGAACCGGAGATGTCTGGACTGTGGTAAAAATGATTGTGCTGGTTCCTGTGTTGAAAAGGTATGCATTTTATGCAATAGTAAAGATCATGTGTGTGGGGAAAAAGACAAATGTCCAAAATGGGCCAAAGAAATTGAGGTCAACATGATAATGACGAGGAAAAAACTTTCTAAGCGGGAAGTCTATGACTCCCAATACAATCAAAATCGATTTGACATTCTGTGGGATGACGCTAATTTCACCCTCTTTCCACAGGTAATAAGAGACAAAAAGATGCCGTACAAAAGGTTCAAAAAAGCAGCATTGAAGATGATGTCAATGCCATTTTAACTCCATATACATATAATTCAGTTGCCAAAAAACCAAAAAAACCATATGTTCATAGACCGGGTGTGACAATGGCGAAGAGGATGTTTGAAGAGGTGTCTCCGTCATCGCCGGTGGTTATGAAAGAGAACCAGAGACTTACGGAGTTGGAGAAGGTCACCAAAGACCTATTGAAGTTCATGCTTGACTTTTTCAAAAAGGAGGAAAATCATGTGGCTGAGGATGCCATTCATCATTTTCAGAAAAGAGTTCAAAAATGCGGAGTAAAATTGGATGGGGAAAGCAATGCCATATCAAATAACTCTAATGATGGACAAGTTGAAGGTATTTCAATATAATATTCAATCTTTCAAATGCAACAAAAACTTTATAGAATTCTTTTTAAACAAATATGAATATGATTTTGTTATATTGTCAGAAATCTTCTCGGAAGACAGAAAACAAAGAAATAAGCTACTAAATTTCAATTTGATACAAAAATTTCGACCGGATGGTTACGGTGGTGTAGCTATTGGTCTAAGAAAATGGATTAAATTTGCTAGAATCTTGTATGAAACTGATCATGATGTCATTATAATCAAAACAACTAATTTGAGGCGCAATTATGTCTTTGTATCAACGTACTTCCCCCCTCCATTCCAGCGGTTGTCTTCAAGGAGGAGATAAATAAACTCATTCTCTTTCTTGAAAATTTTGATAATGTTGTTCTGTGTGGCGACTTTAATGCACGAAACACCACTTGGGGTGATCACATAACATCTGTTAAAGGCAGAGAGTTGAACCTTCTGATGTTAGAAGCAGGATTTAAATGCTTAAACAACGGGAAGGTAACGTTCAGAAGAAATTTAAGCTCACAGGGCTCCGTTCCTGATCTAACATTTGCAAGCAATGGGATTTGTATGAACTGGGATGTGTTGGAAGGCC